ATCAGCGTTATGTTTGATTAGCTTTGTATAGTATTCATGACGATACATTTCTGAAGTCGTAATGTGTACCTATTCTTATCCCTGATTCTGTCTCATGCGACTGTACTGGACTATGCCAAATTTTCAGCATCAGCTTCGCCGACCACCAGTTAAGCAGTGTTGTTGACGAGTTTATTAACACTGCCATCCCATGTACTGTCTGCATTATGACAACCTGTAGAGATGCCTTCACTCATATGCCCTTCAACCAGCTGAGCTGAAATTTCTGGCGGTTTTCGAATGAATTTGCAATGGGATACGTACACCGTGTTTTTTATTTAAGTTAACATATATTAGGTTTTTAAGTGTATCCTCAAATATTATGATTTAAAAAAGTTCTGTACGGATTTAGGGTGTGAATAACCACTGCCAAATCTGTAGCAGAATTGTAAGCGATCCTGCATCGTAAGATTGTAAGTGAATCACGAGTAAGGTTATACTTGGTATGGTTCCCTCCTTTCTTGAAAACGAACTCCTTTTTGATTCCGAAGGTCGTGGCCATTTTTTATGTATTTTGAGTGTTTTCTTTTAAATGGCACGGTTGTAATAGCACATTATGAGCTTTTAAACACAAGGGCACGTGGTTTCAAGAAGCATACATTCATGGTAATTTAACACGTCGTGGTATGCATTACTCAGCTTGTGAACGACTTGCATCCTGCGGGGTCACTTCAAAGGTCATATATTAAAAAATATGTAGAATTAGCACCAGTAATAATCTGATTATGTGTTTTTGAATTAGACTACCTTCAAGGATTTAGAGAAAGCGTAAGAATTGAGCAAAAATGGAGAGAGTAATCGAATGAGTATTGTTGGTGATTATTACTGTACATTTCATTTTACTGACAAAATGAACGAACGCGTGGTACCTAACAGCAGGCAAAATGCAGGAACACAAAAATAATCGTAAATAAATCAGCAAAACTATCCGTAACAGACTATAATTTCTTTCAATAACTTATTTTCAAGATTACGCTTGTGCAGATTATCACAGTGAATAAACAGCTATCAGAAGGGTTATGGCGAATTGCCGTCCTCTGAAAAAGTGGCATGAGACAGTATCTTGAATGTTTCGTCAATTCTAGTGTGATCATACCAAAAGGCTGTACTGTCCCTACTATTTGAATGTCAGCGGCTTTCAAAGCGTTTTTTGGCTGACCTCATAGGAGCAACATAGGGTTTATTTCTGATTCAAAAGAGACAAATTTTGGCATTGGAACACGCATATAAATGACAGTATTTTCGCAGATATAAAGACTAAAATGCATGTGATAAATTCCATTTTTACATTAAGGATTGCTCTTTAAATAACTGGTTTTACAGCTCAATGCACCGCTACTTGCTACTAGACGTCCAGGGAGCCATTTAAACATGCTATTCCATGGTTTTTGAGCAACAGCTCCGGGAAGAATGATGCAGATCCATCTGGGATTGAAATCGTGACCTGCCTAAGTGGCCACTGAATAGTCAAAAGCAAGGAGACGGTGCAATACGCCGCTAAATCTGGTCTTGAAGAAATCATTCAATATTTGAGATGCTCTCGGGCATACGAAGAGCTTAT